CCGACGCCGACGCACACTGGTGCGAAATGTGAGAATAACGAAACAAAAATCTTTACCTCAAGAAATGGACGTATTATTTTTATATGTTTTTTATATTATATACGAGATGCTACGAGTTAGGTTTTTGTCAACACTCGATCGACACCCACGTTTACGCATATTTATTTTATTTATAATAATAATAAGTTATATTACAGTACATAGTACGTGAATAGTCTAACCTCCCTAATGCTCAGGGGTGCAGGAGGACACTTTTGCTGCACATATTATAATAAACTATTAAGTAAGTAAGTATTTTAAGCATTAAACACATATCTACATATAATATAACATATTTCAATTATTTTGCAAATATTAAATTACACTAGACCCATTTATTCCACAGATATTAACATCAACGAATGTATTTTTTTTAGATTTCCGAAATCTTCGATGTCTTCTTAAATAAATATCGAGTTTTCAGGTCTTATATTTTTAAGAATCACATTAGATATTCTGTGTGTGAGTGAAGTGAATAAGAAATCTGTTTTTTTACATAGGTACTGCCAATTACGATCCCATTTAAGATTTTGGTCAATTATAACCGCCAAATGCTTTATGTGATTTACTCACCGAATTGGTCCACATAATATCACATGGAATTGTAATAGACTTAATAAAAAGATGTCTAGTCTGTCATAATATCTTTTGAATTTGAACTGTTTTGAAATCACCTTATCGGTCAAAAACAGACGCTCTACAAGTGTTCAAAGGATATTTATATTCAATACGGAAGTTGTCTTGATTCAAATTCTAATAGAACGTATATTACACAGTTCGAACAACCGAACCTGATACCATATACAGAGTGTAATACTTAAGAATGACGATACCATCCAAATTTTAAAGAAAATAAAAAAACAATTCTTGGGTTGAAGTACTCAAAGGTCTATTGTGTGTAACTATTTCCTGTGCCTACTACGTTTAAGGTAGTAATACACCAAACGATCAAAGTTTTGATAAAAAAAATGCCCAAGAAATTATTTAAAAAGTTGATTACAAGTTTCTAAAACCCCAATAAACTATATCGGGTGCAATGTGAAAAATATTTTTTTTGGCGAAAAATTTCAAATTTAATTGATCGCGAACTTCTTGTTAAATTTATAATATAGATTTAAAAAAATACCAATATATTATGAAAAGACAAAAACATTTGTTAGTATAAGACGAACTTATATCAACGCGCAAATTTTGATATGAGTAAGGTTTAAAAAAAAACAAACCCTATCGTGCAGCTTAATGTAGCCAGTGTTTGATTTAGTTAAATACTAACAGCTACGTCGTTGTAAAAAAATTTTTTTTGGTAATATGTAACGACTCCCCTATGCTTATATTATTTAATTTATATACAAATTAATTGTGGAGTCTTTGGTGATTCTTCCTGGAAAGGCCTGGAGAATTGCTTAAAAATATGATGTTTTTGGACAATTTTAAATTATCTCGAGGCCAAATATAGAGCTTTTTCGCATAAACTTTTCAACCAACTGGGGAAAATAATGTTATAAAATACTTGGTTGATAAAAAAACTTCAATGGATTAATAATCATGTCCTATATTTCACAAAAAAAATCCGATATTTATTGCATAAATTTTATATGTTACGAGAATTTCTTTCCAAAAAACTATTACACATGTTTGTAATATTTTAGCTGATCTGCTTGTATGCTATGGGATTCTTTAATTTAATTTAATTTTTTAATTAATTAATTATCTAATATAAATTGATAACTTGATCAATTAATAATTAATTTTGGGTTTGACACATACATACGTACCTACGTGTCGAATAGGTCAAATAGATATTGAAAAATTAAAATATTGTAATTATTATCGTAATAATAAGAGAGATAGTCGCCTCTCTGAAATATATGTGACTTTATCAAGCATTTCTTATGCTGCCCAAACATATTACAGTCAAAAATTTTGTAAATAGATATTTAGAGATATTAATTAAGGTTTTTTCCCCCTTTGAAGCAGTATGCGACGCCGTCGATGGCGTCGACCAATTGGAACGTTTCGCGCCGTGGTTATCTTAAAACAAAGTGTACACTGTGACAATTCATTTTCCACAGTTTGTCGGCCTGATTAGCGCCGTTAAGATCCCGGTCGCACAAAAAAACCTTTTACGAATGCCTATTTGTTTTAGACTAAACGTCTCGCTTTTGTGTCTCTACTCCAATTAGATGCTTTTAAAACTGGCATTATCAACGCTACGCGGGAAAATTACTCGACAAATATTAACGACTCGCTAATAAAATTATTAAAATCTCAGTTCGCATCTGTCGCATATTATATATTATAACAAAACGTAATAAGGTCGTTAAATTATCGGTAACGGATATACGTACCATACATTTGCAGCTGCTCAATGGATTTTCGATCACTCTTCCGTTACAAGTGGCTTGTGTCGAGTAATTAGTAAAGTAGAAAGCAGAAAATTATTCTAGCGCGGCTACGTTTGTCAAATTAATACGACACACACATCTACGAATCGCGGAGGGTCGGACGGGCGGACAAGTTCAATTAAAAGTTTTTCCGACATCGGGCATGTAATTTAAAATTCTCGGCGAAAATTATTTTTAACGGAACGCAACTTTTTCGTTTTGGATATACCACTTTTTAATTACCGCGTGTTCCTAAGCTACACCTACGAAATTCACTTCTGATGCTCGCGGTAATACATTTTTGCGACGTTGCCGACTCTATATTCGACGACGAAAGTTCTAAAGAACTATAACGTCAAAACCAGAGACGGCAGGAGTTTACAGCATTCCATGCATATACGGCAAAGAATATATTGGAGAGGCCGGACGAAAAATATCAACTATCAACAATTGTTTGTTGAAGATGTTTTTTAAATTGTGTAATTGTTAATAATAAAATAAGTATTAATAATATTATAAGCGCTAATCCAGACACATATTTCAACCAAATGACCCTTTTTCTTTGTATTATATCTACGTTGTTAATAATAATAATTTAGCCTCCTCAAAGTGGTATACAGGGTCTATAAAAATTAACTGTCTGCTTTAATATGAATTGATTATTTAAGAAGAAAAATTAATACACACAATGGACATTCGCCACGGTTACAGAGCCTTTTTTACCATATGTATAGCATGAAATTATTGAAACTTTAACAAGTCACTAATAACACAACAATTCGTTTTTTAAAACGTTTTTTTTTACTTATACATACGTAGTTATAGAATAGCTGCCACTGAATAATAAACAAAGCAAATTTTCTCTAATAAAAATAAAATTTCTTGCGCAAATGTGTAGAAAAAGTTCCCCTACTTAAATTTAATTCATTTGATAAGAAAAATTACTGAAATAAAGGAGAAATCGGTTGAAAGTTTGAAAATTTTAATATTTGCGCGGAAAACTGCCGAGAGTTGGCAACGTAGTGCCCTTCAGAGTCTCTTGACGGTTCGGTTGCCTCGGTTACTCCTAATTGGGACCTTTTCACCATTTCAATGTTGTTATTTGAGATGCATACACACTCCCGGGTTCGATATTCGGATGTTTAACATCTCACTCCGAGCAGTATCAGCTTGCGATACGTGGATCAGATTATTCTCGTTATATGCGCATTAAAAACCGACAAATCCGTTTATCGTGCGCGCAAAAGTACTAGAAACTAATATAATTTCCTACTAAATATTGTTTTATTACAATAAAACAATTATTATAAAACAATATTTGCCGATAGACTAGAATTCTAGCAAATGTTATTTCTTTTTTCCACTCCCTTAGTAATATACTATAATTATACACCGATCTGGCGTGCGGGAAGCGCCACTTTAACACGTGAGTTTCTTGTCCTTGTCCCACGGATCCAGGCCACTTCGGACATTTCCGGGATATTACCGCACAGGTTTGGGAGCAATCGGATGTTAATTTTGACGCTTGTAAATTCTGACAGTCATGTTACTTTTGGTTAGTATTCACGTATTCATGTTGTTTACCAAAATGTACCCAAAAACTAACGGTCGTAGAAATAGTATAGTCTGCGACACGTTTGGTAAACTCTTTTTTCTACTCCCGTTTGTAAAACACCTAATTACCCACCGATCTAGCGTGCGGGAAGCGTCACTTTACCACGTCAGTTTCGTTTCCCACGAATCCGAGCCATTTCGGACATTTCCGGGATTTTACGAACTTGGGAGAGATCGGATGTTTTCGGAGATATTTCCCACGCTTTGAATTTTGACGTTTGTCAATTCTGACGGTCATGTCAGTGTTGTTTTGCGAAAATGTACCCAAAAACTAACGGTCGTAGAAAAAGTATAGTATGCAACACGTTCGGTAAACTTTCTAACTCACGAGTTTATTAAAAACTCGTGAGTCAAATGCCGTTTACCGCACTTGTTGCATAATATGCTATTACATACAAGGCGTGAATGAATTAGCAAACGCATTGGTTGAAAATGAGTGTATTTTTTTGCAAAAAGAATATTATACGGACCACTAAAACCCAATTTGGGTGGTTCAAATCACTTACCGTCCCTAATGACAAGACTCGAACTTGTGGGTTAAGAAAACTTGAAGTCAAGGAATTTATGCTTGAACCAGAAAATTAGCAGCAGATGGAAACGACCTCGTTTTGGCCAAAATAATGAAAAAAATAAATAATTTTTCAAAAAACTTCCATAGGCCACTGTAATACTGTAAAAAAATAAATAATTGTTAAAAAAGTATATCAACCTTATTTTATGATAACAGCACGAGCATAAGCTGTCCTGTTATGTCATTTTGCCCATAGTAATAGATAACAGTAAATAACCATCTACATTATGGAAATATTTTGACTTTGACAGTCCTATTTTTCCAAAATACCCAATGTGAATCGTGATACCCCAGCACCGGACTGCCAGACATGACATAAATAAAACAAGAGTTCTCAGTTAACCATTTTACTCTCGAACTATTTTGCATTTTTCGAAACAAAAATCGCTTACCGTGCAAATTTTTGGCGGTTGGAAATCTTTTCGACAAAATTTCTCGGGAGTGGACGAGCGTTGCTCCGACGATCCCAAATCTTGTCTAGGCGATGATGTGGGCAGAGTTTGGGCGCTAGTAGTCGCCATTTTCGTAAAAACTGACGGTTCGGGTTTGAAGAACCATGACGCTACTGATGCCCACTGCAACAATGTAGTATGCGAAATGTAGCGACGCACATTCAATATAGAGCATTAAATATTTCGGCAAAAACATTTTAAACTAACTTTGTATGAACTTTTGATTGTATTGAAGTGAGAGTTCTTTAATATACAAGGTGAATAATTTGACAGACATTTACGAAAATCAGTGCATATGGTCGTTCTGAAACTGTGTTTGCTTAGGTGTTTGAACTTCTTCAGTCTATCTAAAAAAAAAACATATTTAATAGGTCACACAAATTTTTATATCCAAAACCATTTTAAAGTAGTACACAGTTGAAAATGGCTATCGTATTGCAAACGTCATTTTTCGCATAAAAAATTAAAAATTTCAAAAACGGTTAGACTTATAAGTATAAAACATTATACACAAAATATGTCTAGAATTTTGTATAGAATTCAAAAATGAAGTAAAATACCAGGTGTTCACCCTGTATATATAACATTCAAATAAATTTAAGATTTGTAATACCACAATTAACTTTTGTATGTAACTTTTCGCTCCATCCCCTATAGTTTCTGAGATAAGGTAGTGTCCCAACATAAACGGCCCACCCTGTACCTTCCAAAGGATGCATCCGAATTGTTAGCGTCCAGACTTCGTGACAAGCATTTACTGGCACCTGGGGTCATATCAAGTTTCTACTAGTGTATTGCAACAATATTCCTGACTAATATCCTAACTAGGATTCGACTTTTTTACTGAATAAAAAAATAAATTATCTTAGAAATATCGGTTATTTTTATTTTAATATTTGCAAAAATCACGTGATACAAATAAATGAATAGCCTACCAAAATTATATTAAATCAGTTTTCAAAATAAAAACATCTGAGTAATTATTAATCGACAATATTATTTACAAATCTTCTGAATTTCTCCCGCGATAATATAGAAATAATTCACCAAACTTATTCTCAATAATAATAAATAATTATTTTTTGGTATCGAGTATTATTATTTCACTGGTATACCTTTAAAATCCGAAATGTGGAAGTTGATATCTTTTCCGCATTTGTCAAAATGTACGACATCGCGGAGTGGACAGTAAACATAAATAGAATCGGATAAAGACGTTCCAAAAAGGTTTGTATAATGAATCAGCCGAGGTGCGATGTAACAGATGTATATGCCTCTTGAGGCCCAGACGAAAAATAAGGTGATCGTGGTGCTAGTGAACCTGGCCCCCGAGATGATGCTAAACATCAATTCGTGCGTATGTGTATTTTAGTAACACGGATTTAATGGAAGCACTCGACACATCCGAATTATTTTAGTGACATCTATACAGCCCACGTGGCCGATAGTGGGTGTACTGGATTCAGTTACGACTTTATGTCATTTTACGCCCCTTATGATAAACTGGCCGACGTTATCGTCGCGTACGTATTAATTTTAGTAAACGAAAATTGACTTGTGCCATCTTTTATTATCTGATTCGGGTGCCTTTGCGTATTTTTAGAGCACTCAAAGAGGCTCTGGTTCGTTTCCGATAGAGTGGCGTTTAAAAATATACACGGGGTCGGGGATTTTTCACTCGCGGCGATGATGCGTCATTCAAATTTTCGTAAATTCGTAAAAAAACGGCGATACTTCGAATTTACATTAAAATCTCGGGTAAAATAATATATATATATATATATATATATATATATATATATATATATATATATATATATATATATACGTAGTCCGTACGAAACATCCCTCGTTTAAATGTCAAACCCTCCCTCTTGTGCTTCGTGTGCGATGAACCCTTTTAGTCGCCATATGCCCACCATTCTTACGTGCTCGAATTACAACAAAACACGATGGCATTATCCACCATATTCTTTCGCAGCGTCCCCGTTTTTCCACCGGTTGTTTGTTCAACTCTTAACCCACTTGAAAATTATAAAATCAGCTTGCCGGACTCGAAAAAATTACCATCATGGCGGTCCCCTTCAATAACGGCTAACTAATTAAATGTCTTAAAGGACAGAAACCGAACCAAATACTAACTATAACAGGTATATAGCCTATTTTGGAAGAAGATAATGTTTATATGGTTTTAAAATGGCACCCACTACTGCGCCATTCAATTTCGAACTACTTAGGAATTAAATCTTTAGAATCAATCGCAATCAGGGAGAAGAAAAAACACTAAATTTAATATACCTATATTACGTTAAACGTCGAAAATCTCACAGTGTATTTATTACGGCACCTTAGTTCCACACCTTACATTCCTACAGAGTGCTTACAGATGAACATTCAGAGTCGCAGTCTTGACAAAATGGAATCCGGGTTGAATAAAATTTTCTTAACAAAAACATGGTCAACAAACGCATGATCAAATTAGCCGGGGGTTAGTAAAAAGAACCGAAACGCTTAAATATCTCCAGAACTCCCAAAGCTGGATTGATCAAATTCACTAGCATTCCAAAATATTAACAGCAATCACGTCATTAATTGTACTTTAAATGGAATGCCCTATTTATTTTTGTTGCAATAAATTACGCAAAAATAATAGAACGCTTAAATATCTTTAAAATTACCAAAGATGGAACGTTAAAATTCAAAATCGGGAAGTTTTTCACAACTGTCGGATTTCGCGATAATATTTATAATTCTGGCAACCTTTCACTGATACACTTCTAAAGTCATTGCAAGAATTTAATTTTAACTAACCCGGTATAAAACTCCAGCAGAAACATGGTTATAAATCTGAAGACTCGTGAATAAAACGTACACAATAGTTAAAATGGCAGAAAACAAGCGCATAACTTTCTCAATCTTATGAAATTTAAAATATCGACTATAATTTTTGTGTATATTTTATACGGTAGATCGCCGGCGCATGTTTTTTGCAATCCCCTGTATAAAAGTGACGAAACAAACGAAGGGGATCTTTAAGAAATTTAATTGGAGTCGGGATTCAGCAAAATTTTGGGTGGTGAAAAATTTATCGAATCATCACTCTTTTATTGAAGTCGTTTTGACTTGTTATGACACTATTTCCAAGAAAAGCAACAACAGGCCGTAGAAAATAAATCTGCGAACAATTATAGAACAACGAAATTAATATGGATGACTGTCGAATTTTAAATCAATTGTCGACGTGAAAAAAGGAAAACCGAATGGGGATCGATTATACATTACCGAAGCCAAAATCCAAATAGATTCCTTAAAAAGGAACACACAACAATAAAAGTGATATTTTCGCAGATATAATAGGGTTGTTATATTGAGGACCTAATATTGGGGTTGGTACATAATTATTAATCCCCTCAACGCAAAAGGGTTAACGGAGACCGTGGGGTGGGAAATGCGCCATATTTGATCAATAATTGAGTTAAACAACTGACGAGCCGAGTACTTACTCATCCCCGTTTTATGCGAACGGGATCATAAGTCTTCGATTATTTTCGTTCGCCTCCATTGCAAATTTTTCGTTAAATTAATTAATGTCATAATATTTTTTTACGCTTTTGTTTAACGTCGTTTCCGAAGTTTAATAATATAACATAAAAGTACCATGAGGCGTATTTTTTTTTAAACAATAATGTAGTTGAGGCTGTTTTAGCTCCAAACAAAATTGAAACATTACACTGTCAAATATATAAGGCAATGTTTTCCCAAACAAAATACGTGTAAATTACAATGTAAATTATAAGATTTTGAGTTATAATTTTAATATGTATTTTATATTTCATATAATATGAAATACATTAGATAGTCAATTTAAGAATCTAGAAGTAAATATTAAAATTGCAAACAATGTCTATTTAGAAATAGGTATATCCCACATAGAACAGTGAATTTTAATACGTCCTTTCATAAACATTATTTGATTTGGCCTGAAAAAATCCTAATAGCGAAATATTCGCAAAAATGTATTTTTTATAAATTTGCCAAAGAGCAAATAAAATTGAAAACGAAGACAGACAGACACATTTGAGCATTATTTAAATACACCAGAAGTTTAAATCAAAATTAAAAACATACTAATTTGTGTTAAATTATTTATACCATATATGATATGGGCATTACATATTATTTAAGGATCTATACCCTATCTAGGTAATAGATGCATGCTATTCAGAACCCGACTAAATTTTAGTGCATTCTTTTTAAATATTCTAAAAACGAAAGAGAAAAGTTAAAAAGCAACTTGGGTATCATTGATGTTAATTTAAATACAGATCGGATTCTTCGTTTATAACTTTTTTAAAGTTCCTAAAGGTGAAATATTTAAAAATATATTTTTTTTCTTAAAATTTGGTGTATATGAATTTTTTAATTGCAGGGAGCATCTTATCGCATTTAAAAAAGGTGAAATAATATAAATTTCCTATGTTTTAAAAACATGTCATATTTTATTTTACAATGAGTGATTATTAACGGCATACTTATATAAATGGTTTAGTGGAAAATCACAACACTTGTGATATACGTCACAACCAAACGCTGTATAGGTATATGCAAAATTGAGGATTGAAATTTCGCTATCCTTATCATAATTCCCAATTCGGGAAATATAAATAAATACCTGGGTAAGAAATATACCGCTTATTATTCACAAGCTAACCCCCATTCACCCCCCACCGCGCCGTAACATAAACAGTGGAACGAGAACGTCGGTAATTAAAATAAAGTGAAATGAAATATATCATACATATTAAAAAAGATGCACCAATCAAATATCGGAACCCTATTAAATTATAAGGGGGGGCCGTGGCTAAAATAAATCGTATCTTTATTTTTAGTCATCAATTAGCGGCATGACAATAATTTATCAGCGGACGGCGGACGAGCCATCACTAATAAAATAGACTCTGGTACCTTTAATGGACCTGATCGTTATCAAAAAGGGCACATTAGCCCGAATGGAGAAGAGGCTCTATAATGGGGGCGTGGCAAACGGCGCAACGTACTTTGATCCACAA